ATTCCTAGGATTATAGGTACCACTCATTGGTGGACTCTTCCCCTGTGAGAGGCACTTTATACCCAGCATCTTAGTAAATCCTCATGGCAGCCCTGTGAGGCCAGCTTTATAGATGAGAATACTGACATTCAGAGGGGTTAAGTGACATTCCCAAAAGCCCACCACCAGGAGTGGTGTCACTGGGATTCAAAGCCCAGTTTTCCTGAGCTGGTGGCCTAGGTGGCACTTACCAGTTTAGCATGCTGCTTTCAACCAACTGGAATGCTAGGTCATTCATGGGAATAAAAGTTAAAACCTAGAGGAGCACAGGATGTATCAAGAGACCTGATGTCACAGACCTCATAAAATAATGATAAAAACAAAATAATAGAGTGTAAAGGACTTTTTAAAGCAACAAGCTCACAATGGGCTCACAATGTAACTCATGATACAGCATGAGTTAAGACTGGTGTATTACCAGCTGTTGAACAACCAGTTAAGTGGCAGGCAGAGAGCATCCAGGCAGCAGGAACATGGTCTGGGTTAAGTTAGGGAGGACACACGAGCAAGATGGGAACATCCCAGAAGAGTTTGTTCATGTAGAACAGTGACATATACCAAGGCCAAAAGGCCAGACAGAGGCCAGACAGACTGGGCCAATGAGCACAGGATAATCAAATTGGGTTTTTAAAAAAGGAAAGTTACTAAACACTTTCTCTGGAGCACAGGGGTTCCATGAGAGGATAAAAAGAAGGGGCTGGGTGCTAGGGATGAAGTGGCCCTCGGCCTTTGGCCACCTCAGGGCTCTCCTCCAGGGCAGGTGCTGGGGGAGAGAGGAAGCCCAGGGAAGAGCAGCCTCCATCCAGCCTGGGCCTGGCTCTACCAGACAGGAAGTGGCAGGGATGTAGCAGGGCAGAATCCCAAGGTTCTGGTGTTGCTGATCTGGGGCAGGGGAAACAAGAGTCAAAATGATATGAACACTCTAGGCCTGAGGAGCAGGAACAGTGTGCAAACCAGGACAAGGGCCACGTATATGGCAAGGAGGGCAAGGCCATGTTCTGCAAATGTAATACTGGTCTCTGTAAACTGCTTCAGTTTCCAAACTGCTTCCTAATACATTAAGCTATGAAACCAGGGAAACTGGGTGCAAGCTTCAGTCACTCTTACCAGCCGCCTTCCACACATGCCCGTTCTTTTCTCCCTCCTAAGTGAATGGGACCAGGAGAGAGTCCCTTTCTGACTAAGCTCTTCAGAAAAACCTGATTCTTTTTATCAGACTGGATTTCAGGCTGGGAAGAAGGAAGGAAACAATCGAGAAGAATGTGCTCTCACCATATGTAATCAAATGACAAGGACCGGAACAGGATATGTTAAGGTAGGAACAGATGCGTTCTGATAAAAGACTGTACATGGGATTTTTTCTTCTCCCCAAACCTTATTAAATATTACTGATACATCTGGATTTCAATTAAAATGAGACTGCCCCCTTCAAACAAAAACAGGAATATGAGCCCCGCACCCCCACTGTCAAGAATGGCAGTTACTGATTTTTCTGCTTGCTTTACCATCACAGGGAAAGTGCTCTCACCCTTTTTCTATATTTATGCTTTTATCAAGGTATATTTATGCTATTTATCAAAGTATTTGTATTATGCCTTATACCCTCTTAACAATTTCCCTGTCCCTAATGTTAGGTTAAGGTGTGTTTCCAAATAGGAAGCTCCCATGCATAAGCAGCAGCCTAGAGGAGGCACAGCCTAGGAACCACAGGAAGGGCGGTAAAGTAAGAGAATCATTGGACCTCCTTGGCAGAAAGGAACAATAGGGCAGCATTTCGCCTCCTCTGATTTCCTCCTGCCATGGAAAACACCAAACACAGACAGAGATACATTGAAATAAATTTAGGGGAGAATATTTTACAGGTAAAAAGATGGACGAGTTCTTGGGCAATCATCAAAGCAGGGAATGGTTTGTTATTCCCAAAAGGTTCCTGTCCTTAACACTGTCTAGAATACCACTTTCATACGGAGTGGATGACAGGGCCAGCTCTCTCCCTAAAATAATATGACCTTTGGCAAGCTACTTAAGCTCTGGGGTCATTAGCTGCCTGGCATTGTTGGCTCAGGATCTTCGTTAAGTCCTTATCCAAGGATATGTTTTTATTGATTTTAAAAATAGAGGAAGGGAGACTGAAAGAGAAAGAGAGAAGGGGAGAGGGAGAAGGATAAGAAGAGGGAGAGGGGGAGTGATAGAGAGGAAGAAGGAGAGGGAGAAGGAGAGAGAGCGAGAGTGAGAGTGAGAGCGAGAGCGAGAGCGAGAGTGAAAGCGAGAGCGAGAGCGAGAGCGAGAGCGAGAGAGAGAGATCAATTGCCCCCTTTATGTGCCCTGACCAAGAATTGAAACCACAACCGTTTGGTGTACAGGACAATGTTCCAACTAACTGAGTCACCCAGCCAGGGCATTGCTCAGGCTCTTACACATACAACCTCTACAGTCATTTCTTAAAGGTAACTTCCTTGATTACAAAGGTAAATCAAACAACACTTTTTGGACATCCTTGGGGTAGGAAATCAGGGGAGGGAGGGCGGGAGAGGGCGTGGGCAAGAAACATCTTGGTCCACTTCTTCTTAGTAATGGCCAGAGGCCATGGACCCAGGGCCTACTTCCCATGCTGGCCCCCTGTACTCTCTCCCCTCTCCCTAGACCTTCCACCTCTCTAGTCTGCCATTGCTCTCAGACCTACGTCAATACAGACAGCCATGTTGCCTTTGCTAAGGGAATTACTAGGTGTACCAGTTAATAATGCGAATTGTTTTCAATAGATGGAGTAATACATATGTTGATATATATGCGATTTGATATGTATGCTATTTTATTGTATTGACAGCAAGCTTCAAAACTTCCTATGTCAAATTTTCTGAAGGTGTTAACATCATAGATATTTTTACACTTAAAAATGTCAAATTTCATGCAAAAAAAAGAGCATTTGTTGGCAGTTTTAATTCATTACTTTATTTTGAAGAAAAAGTTATCATATACTCCAGGAAAGTTATGGTGAACATGCTCCATCTTAAGATACTTGTAAATTCTGATTTAAACACTTTAAAAGTGATGATTTCGATGTGAAAGACAAAGAACATCCAGGTCAACTGAAAAAGTTTGAAGACCAACTATTACAAGCATTATTGGATGAAGATGCATGTCAAACTCAAACACAACTTTCAGAAAGATTAAACATTGCTCAGCAAACAATTTCCGATTGTTTACCAGCAATGGGAAAGGTTTTAGAAGAAGTAAAATGGGTGCCACATCAACTGAATGAAAGACAAATGGAAAACTGAAAAGTCATCAATAAAATGTTGCTTCAATGGCATGAAACAGTCTTTTTTGCATTGAATTGTGACTGGTGATGAAAAGTGGATTTATTTTGAGAATTCTAAATGCACAAAATCATGGGTTGATCCAGGTCAACCATCAACTCTGACACAAGGCCAAATTGTTTCAGATAGAAGACAATGCTTTGCGTTTGTTGGGATCAGGAAGGTGTGGTGTATTAGACCTTCTAAAACTAGGTAAAACGGTTGATACTGATCGCTACTGACAACAAATAATCTATTTGAACCATGCGTTGATAGTGAAACGACCAGAATGTTCCAGAAGACATGGCAAAGTAATTTTGCTTCATAATAATGCATCATCACACACTACAAAACCAGTTATACTTCAATTAAAAGATCTTGCCTGAGAAGTATTAACCCACCTACTGTATTCACTAGACCTTGGTCCTTCAGATTACCAATTGAACTAATCAATGTTTCTGAGCAGCACTTCAAAACATACAAAGAAGTGGAAAATTGGGTCTCTGAATGGTTTGCTTCAAAACAAGAAAAGTTCTATTGGGACAGTATTCACAAATTACCTAAAGGTGGGGAAAATGTGTAGCTAGCAATGGACATTACTTTGAATAAAGCATTTTTGATGTTTCTCTTGAAATTATCGTGTTTTCTTTGTTTACAAAATCTGCCATTATCAACTGGTACACCTAGTATGTGTTCCCTGCCACTCACCTGCATATAAGAGTAAACCCACCAATATATCTTAAAGATGGTTCAGTTTTTCACTGTGATTGACCATCATAAAATTCCTGTACCTCAGAGGAAAGGCTTAAATAACTTATCTTTCAACCATCTACTTGGTGAGAAACATTGCATTAAAGCATAAGCAATACGTGGTCCAAGTCCTGTTAAGCTGCATCACTTCATACAGATTTTATAGCTCTCAGTATGTTTACAAGACTCTGCCCATAATGATAATAAAATCATTCAACCTTCTTAGCCCAAACAAGGCAGGCAAAATTCTCTCAAGCATGCTACCTGTCTTTGATCTGAACAGTAAACATTCTATACGTATGTTTTGCCTGTGAGGCATGACCTGCTTTTTGAAAGCGTCTCCTTGGACAAACCATGACCCAGAGGTTTGCAGCTAGGGCCACTGTGCAGTCTGGGCCCTCCAGCCATGCAGGGCACCTTCTGGGTTAGCCTTTGTGGGACAGATGTTTTCTGCTGAGCCCTGCAATTCCACAGCTGGCTCTCAGGCAAACATAATCTAGTTGATTTTTATTTCTTATTTAAAATTTCTTTTTATTGATTATAGTATCATATAATTGTCCTCATCCCCCCATTCCCATCCCAAACCCATCCCCACTCCCTGTTGTCTATGGCCACTGGCTAGGCCCATATGCATGCACATAAGTCCTTTGGTTGATCTCTTCCCCTTACCCCACCCTCCCCTACTTTCCCTCTGAATCTAGTTGATTTTTAAATTCATTCATTCATTCATTCATTCATTCACATAGATACACAGGACCTTGCCTGATCCAGAGAAAAGACACAAGAGTCTTCCTGAGGAGTTCAGGACCATGAAAACCTCAAGTTTCAAGGGCTAAAAACAAAGCTTGTCCTATCCAGTCAATACCTCAAAGCAGTTCACAGTTTAGAAGGCAGGAGGGAACCTTTGTTTACCTTATTGATGAGAGTGACTATATCTCCTTCTTTGATTGTCAATTCATCATCATTCTGTGCCTCATATGGAAATATTACTTTGCAGTAATCCTTGGCTGTAAGAAGAAAAGAAAACACAACCTTTAAAATGCTTTATCTAATGAGCTGGCCCAGAAGAAGATTGTCTCTATCACATTAACTACAGGGAAGAGCACACTTACAAGCTCGGCTATTACCACTGTACAAAGGGTCACCCTCAGAAAACTACTGAAGATTGCTCATCTTAGGCTCATGCATATTTATTCTCTTCATTGTTTTCTTGTTACAAATTATATGACGTCATGAAATGCCATTGACTGCTTTGCTTATTTCAGGCAGAAAAGCAAAAAAGTTTCCTTGGTCCCAGGAAAATATACCATTTTAATATACTGTTTGGGTGCTTGCTTAAGCAGACATAATCTACAAACCGAGCAAAAAGCTTAAATTTTCCCCTTACTATCTCCTTCCACACATTGATAAATCAGAAATAGGGTATTTGTATGTGTTACAAAGCTGACATGGTGCTCAAAACAATGAAAAAGACTCATGATGACACATCTTAAGAGACTGATGTTGATATATTTATATGTAAATATGTGTCAATCACAAATAGCCAACAAATACTGACCAAATGTTCTTTATACACCCATGTGCCATGGCATCTCCGTGGGAACCTGCCTGTTTATATATGAGGCTACTCACCAGTGAGGATGTGCAGCAGCCCTTGCCAAAGAGGGAAAGACACAAAGGCTTCTCAAAATTAGTTCAAGTATGTCCTGAATTCTAGGCACCAATTCTAAAGACTAAATACATTTATAAGGTGTTTGGTAAATAAAGACCTAGAAAACTGGGGTTTGATGACGCAGACAGAATGTAGAATGAAAAATTCAAGAGAATTTGTGTCTACTAGAACAGGTATTTATTATTCTGCATCAAAGTTAACAGTCCTAATGGTTTTAAATAGCCTTAGAGCCTGGCTAGTATGGCTCAGTAGTTGAGCATCTATTTTTGAACTAGGAGGTCATGGTTTCAGTCCCAGTCAGGGCACATGCCCAGGTCTCAGGCTCAATCCCCAGTGATCTCTGAAGCATAATAATCTGGCCACTCAGTGTATAGTGTGTGTGTGTGTGTGTGTGTGTGTGTGTGTGTGTGTGTGTGTGTATTAGAAGCCTGGTGCATGAATTCGTGCATGAGTGGGGGGTCTGGCCAGCCTGGCCAGGGGGAGGGGACATGGGCAGTTGGCTGGCCTGCCTGCTGGTTGAACACCTGGTCAAGGAGACAATTTGCATAATTGGCCTTTTATTATATAGGATATACACTGTGTGGCCAGATTATGCATTCAGAGATCATAATAATCTGGCCACTCAGAATATATTTAAATGGCTTTAAATATTTCACCCAAATTAGTCTAGTTCTTACTAGATCATCTGGAGCAATATACATACATATTATGCCTACTATAATTTATGTCACTAAAATGTATTATTATTCTTAATGTCATATGGTTATATATAAAGTAAAGGTAATAAAAATTTGTAATACAGATAAGCTATGGTCTAGGGTTGGTCTAGATAAGATAGGGAGGTGAAGGGAAGGAGACATAAGAAGACTCACTTTGTTCCTATGTAAATGCTTTTGCTTTCCACCCAATGACTCCAATATATCAGTTACCTTCCCTATCCTAGTGTTGGAAACCTATTGTCTTAGTTACTCTGGGTCCCATTAGCCTCACATTTCAATTTATTATGCTATATTAGAAAATAAGAATTTGTTTTTTTACTTCTGAGGCCTTTGGGTCCTAATTCAGCAGTATTGAGAGACAAAATCATAATGTTGTTTTGGATGTACCAGTGGTTTTAAAATAATCAAAAATAAACATATAAAAAGGTATTAACCTTTGATTAACCATGATTTTTATTTTATAGTATATGGAATGAAGATGTTCTTCAAAAATTTATTGAGTCACCACCTTTAGATAATATTTTCAGTTCTTGGGCCTACAAGTCATTCCAACTACCCCTTATATCCTCACATTGAAGTAATAACCTAATGCTTTGAGAAAGGGAAGGGAGTAAAGAAGGATGGAAAGAAAAAACAAATATGAGTAAGAACAAACTCAATATGGTGCAATATTGTTGTGGTGTTTTGGAGAAAGGCAGGATTACTTTAAGAAGAGAGCTCACAAAAGAGGAAGCATTTGAGATGTCTTAAAAGAAGATTATAATTCCAAAATCTTTGGACATGGGAAGATATAAATATTAAATGAGTAGTAGACAGAGATGGAGAGGAAGGGAATAAAATTAACTTAGGGAGCCATGCATTTTTTAGCTATTCATGAATTGGATGAGGTTAATTAATCTAAAATCAAATAGGAATGAATACACATGTGGATACATAGAAATAAAGGCACAACTTATCCAGTGATTGAGATGATTTTGTCTTTCTATTTTTTCTTTAGGAAGATTTAAAAAATACTAATGAATTAGCATAAGACTGAAAACCTAGGCCAGTTCTTTAGTCCCCCCCCCCCTCCTTAGTCCTTTAAGAATCTTATAAAAAGCAATTACTCTCTCTTTCTAGAAAAAGAAGAAAAACATAGACACATTCAAAGATGTAGAGAAAATGTGTTCAATACCAGAGGGTTTAAGGACCCTGAAACCCTTGCCTAGTTCCAGATCAAGATTCCATGTACTAATTGATTACTGGCTTCCAATTACAGAAGCATGTTCTATTAAAACCACCAAGAAGTCCATAATTCACATTAACCCTTCCCCCCAAAAAAACCCCCAACACTTTATTTCAACCTATAAACTTCTAGAAATTTATATGAAATTAAAAACAGACTGTTTATGGAATTGAACTCACATGCCCACATCCCATGACTCCTTTCAGCTGGTTTTATAATCTATTCATATAAACAAACTAACAACACAAATTAAAAAATAGCCTCAACTTAAAAAAATAAAAGCAAAACAAACAGAATAAACATATCAGCAGGCTGAATATATACACATACATCAAGGAAATAAAATTAAATCCAGGACAATTCTCTGGGCTCAATTTCAGGACATGAAGATAAAAAAACTCCATGTGTCACAGTCTAGTAGGAAGCCTTCCAGAGGTGGAAAGTAACAGGTCACATCTAGAACTCTTTTCTTCTGGTTTACCAGAACAAAAGTAACAAGCTCAGTGGTGTTTATGTTCACAACCATCAAAATCTGAAATTCTTTCATTGAACTGACCAATACTATCTGAGACACTAGGGTTTCATAGTCCCTTATCCAGAAGCCCTGGAGACAGAATTTTTCTGATTTCAGAAAGGGAATATTTTACACACATCATATATATATATATATATATATATATATATATATATATATATATATATATATATATATATATATATATATATATTCCCAGTGACCAAATGGCGGGATGACCAGAACAACTGGTCAACCAGTTGCTATGATGCACACTGACCACCAGAGAGCAGACGCTCAATGCAGGAGCTGCGCCCTGGTAGTCAGAAGCACTCCCACAGTAGGAGTACCACTCAGCTGACCAGGATGAGCAGTGCTCCCACAGTGGACCCATCCCCATAGGCCATGCCCCCACCAGTGCACAAATCCATGCACTGGGCCTCTAGTTAATATATAACATCTTCACCTGGGACCTGGGGCTGCAACCAACCATCAAATACATTAAAAGTCTGCAACAAATGAATGATTTGTCATCCCGACTGGAATGAATGAATGAATGCCTAATAAACAAACAAATAAATACTATACATAGATGCATGTTGGTCCAGGACAAATGTTATCATCCAAGTGATAAAACCTTTTAATTTTCCTGATTTTTGTCTTTTGAAATTGCAATAAGGGTGTGGACTTCTTCATGTTCTGGGAAAAGAGAGTTAAATAAGACTAGTATCTGATTCTCAAGCAGCTTACAATCAAGGAGAGGAAATGAGGCATGTAAACACAGAGCTCTTGACAAAGCAACAGTGAAGAAAGGATGAGAGCAATGCACGCAGCTTAAAGCATCAGAGTATCAGAAATGGGGAAATAATCTACCAAAGGACAGAATAAGAATCCCTTCTTTGAGGAGCAAAATGTCACTGGGCTCTGAGCAACATTCTGGGACTTTGAGTGGAAGAGTAAGAGTTAGGGTTCCCAACCATTCCTAATGACAAGGTTGATGTGGGACACCTGTTCCTTCTATTCCTCCCTAGACCCATCCCCTGGGGATCCCAATCACTAGGTCTGAGGTGGAAGAAGGAGTCACAAGCACCCTGGTGACTGTCCTCAGCATGGGAGCTTAAGAAAAATTAGTCTAGGGCAGTGGTCCTCACACCTGAGTGAGCATCAGCTCTAGGTATAGGACTTGTAAAAACAGAACCCCCAAGGTTTCTGATTCCCCAGGGCTGGGGGATCTCTACCAAGTTTCTAAGTGCTTCTGCTGGTGGTCCAGTGACCACACTGTGAGAGCCACTGATCTAGCCTTGAGTATCAGCAAAGATTCAATGCTAGAAAGGAGCAAAACAACTAAGGATATGGAGTGTGGACCAGTGGGTGATGCTGCTAGGGCTGGGGTGCTGTGTGATTGATTGAGATCGGAAGTCCCGTCCTTAATCAGGATCTGGGAATTCAGAGTTAGAGGGGAGGGATGGAATGGAAATGAGGTTTGCCATTCATTCCAATAAATATGATCTGATTGTCTACAGTGAGCCCAGTGGCAGAGCTGCAGCAATGCCCTTGCGGGGCTTACTATAGTCTACACCAGCAGTTGGAAACTGGAGAGAGCTTGCTCCCCAGGGACACTGACAATACTTGGAGACACTTGTGGTTGTCACTGGGGAAGAGGAGGTGGTAAATGTTATTGACATTCAGTGGGCGAAGCCCAGAGATGCTGTTAAACATCCTACAATGGACACAGAATAGCCCCAGAACGAAGTATGTAGTGGTCCAAATGTTAACAGTGCCAAGGTAGAGAAACCCTAGTCTACACTTAAATCCAGATAGGGAAGAGAAACACAATGCCTACATCACTATTTTGTCAATGCCTTCCCCCATGAAAA